AATGTTTGTTTATGCGTTTGATCTATCATATACAATTTTTTTACATTAGTTGTTTTGGTATGAGTTGACACTCAACTCCCATCAATTTGCGTCACAACTTATAAACGTGATTTAGATGATATACTAGATTAAGGCCATCCAACCACAATGTATATGACAACACCATATGAAGATTCTAAAGCTTTAAATTTCACATAAAAACATTAGAGTTTGAGTAAAAAAAATATTGTAGTAATGAGATTAGACCATTTGCATTTTAATTTTTTTAAATCTTATTTATAGTAGTACAATTTAAAACCTTAACTATTTGAATTTCTCTAAAGTAGAAATTCCATATGGTTATACATAATAATGACTCAAATATTAATTATAGATTAGATGGTTCAAATCACACGACTAATTAATTTTAAACGATTTTGTCATTGAAGGTTGAGATCTATTAACAGTTGGAAAATGTTAAAAGCATCCGATGCATTTCCAACCATAGAGATGGATTACACTAAATCGAATTTAGAGTGTGATTGGTAGAGGTGAAATAGAAGAGAGAGAGAGAGGTTGAAGAGAGAGATAAGAGAGAAGACACGTACTTCTCTTGATTAGTTGTGGAGAGAAAAAGGAAAGAGAGAGATAAAACATGTGGATTCAACTGTTTTTAGAGTCTTCTCATATATGAAGAGAAATAGACCAGAGATATGCATTATTATGCTCTTCTAATTATGTCCTCTACAAAAGGTGTTTAAATAATAATATTAGATAATATTTTTATTTCATTTTTATTTTGTTCAAGGATATTTTTGTAATTTAAAAACAATCATATTATTCTCTCTTTTCTATTTCTCTTATTTTTCTTTTCTACTAAACAATATATCAAATCAACTCTATTTCTCACCTCTTTCTCTCTTTTCACACTCTTTTTTATCTACTTCTCACTTCATAATTTCTCTTTCAAACCAAACACATCTTTAGTGTACTCTTACATTGTGTCCATTATTATTTTTAGTGCAAAGTGGGGGTATTGAGTTTAGGTGTGTTTATTCTTTTTTCTTTTTATACAAAGCTGAAAACAAACATAGTAATCAGTTTTGAGAAAGTGATAGATACTTAACTAATAGGATAAGTCACATTTCTTCAACATACTTTTATAGTAAAAATTGATTGATCTGATTCTGTCATATTGCAACTCAAAAAGGAGCTTAACTTTTCTAGATATTTGCATTTTAATAAAACAGTCTTATATTAGTAGCATTACATTTCTCTACTATGATTATGAATAATTTTTTATTCAAATTTTTTTGTATATTGGATATTTTGTTTATGAATCCAATGCATACAGACACTGGTCCAAATATTTTGTATGGATTATAATAAAACAAAATCAATAATGTTAGGAGAAGAAATAAATTTTGTACCTACTCTTGTGGCCCAGTAATTGTGATTAGCAAGTAGGAACAGCTTGTATCATTGATGGTGTTTATGATGCTTCTCTGAGTGAAAGCCATGCTACTAGCCGCCAGAAAAATCATTCAATTTTGCTTCGAAATTAGGTTTCCACAAAGTTTCTTTAGATGGAGACTGATGCAATACCAACAATAAATGTAAGTCACAAGTTTTTAGAGGGTATATATAGATTAGTAGTAGTTTAGTTATAACAAAATAAATAGACTTTATTTAACTAGTATCAAAAACAATTTATAAGACGATATTTAACTTTGTATTATGGGAAATATATGATATAGATAACACAGTTGAAGCAACTAGTCCAAGTCCCAGTAATATCATATATATGCTCAAATTCACATCACTCTGACATTTGTTTGTCTTTTTCTTTTAGAAAAATAAAATATCTGATGTTGATCCACTTGTAGTATATAGTAATAGTCTTGTCTTTCTCTCTAATTAAAGTTTTGGACATGTTTGATCAAGTGAAAGGGAAATGAATATGCAACTATAGTATAGTCCATCACTTTCGACTTAAGGGTGAAAACTATATATACAGTCTGGACATCAAATATTTCCAAATCATAGCCTACCGGAAGCGCATAAAGCAATATCTTACTTTTGAGCAAGAGATTAGGTAGGAAAAGCATTAGTTATGTTAGTGCCTCAGTGAGGGGAAAAAAGTATAAGGAAATAAAAAAATTATTATTGAATTAAATGGTATAAATTGAATTATAAATTATATATATTATAAACGATTAACTTATACACTAAGTAGATTAACAAATTCTAATTAGACTTGAACTACTTAATTTGAATTATATCTTATATCTCAACATATCTCCTTATAATTTAAGTCGTTGAACATACGTTAATCATAGTCAATCTGAACTATTCATATTTTCTTTCTAAAATTCAGGAATATGTCGATCTTTAATCCTTTGATGAAGATGTTGTTGAAAGTGTAATTTCTTGTGTCGAAGCAAGATGTTGCTTGACACAAGGTGTGTCGAATTAGCTTAATCTATCGAAGTGTTGTAAGCAGGTTGTTACACACTGATTCAATTTATGTCTAAAATATGTATCTTGGACTTTTATAGTTTTGGATTTTTTGACTTAGGGAATAAGCAAGCTCAATTATAAATAGGGGGAGTAACCCCTATTTTGTAATCAATTCATTCATTCATAGTATTTACAGTTGCAAGTAAATAAAGTTTTTCACAGTTTGTGGGCAGAGAGAAACTCTGCAGAAACCCTAATCTCATTTTCTTCTTTAATATTTTCTTTCTTTTTCATTGTCATTGTGTGGTGATAACAATCTTGTTCATTAAGATTGATAGAAATTCATCATAGGTTCTGGTGGATTTCCAACATCTGATATCAAGAGCTCTGGTTGAGCGATCAAGGGAAGAAGAAGAAAACTACAATGGCGATGAATCATCCGAACGAGCATTTTTCAGCAAGTCTTCCAGTTCTTAAAATTGATAACTATGAGAATTGGTGCAAGCAGATGAAGGTTGTGTTTTGTTGTCAAGATCTTTGGGATCTTGTGAAACATGGATTATAACCATTTGTAGAAGATGCTTCAGAAGAAGAAGAGGCGGAATACATAGAATCGAAGAAGAAAAATTATAAAGCTCTCTTTAATTTATTAATGTCTGAGTCCAGACAATTTTGAAAAGGTTAGTGACGTAGAATCTGCAAAAGAAGTCTGGAAGATTCTTAAGAAATCATTTGGAGGCGCTAAGAAGGTGAAAAAGGCGAGGTTACAAACTCACAAAAAACGTATGAATTGCTTCAGATGGAAGATAGCGAGAGCATATTTGATTTCTTCACTAGGGTTACGAAACTAGTGAATCGAATCAAATTTTGTGGAGAGATGCTAACAACAAGAGTTGTTGTTTCAAAGATTTTGAGATCTTTGGCTCCGAAGTTTGATCATGTGGTAGTTCTCATAGAAGAGTCGAAGGATATGTCAATGTTATCGAAGGAAGAGCTTTAAGGGATGTTTGAATCTCATGAATAAAGAATGGATGAAAGAGCTGCATGCAAGTCGAAGAGTGATGTGGCTTTGTAGGCACATTCAACAAAATAAAGTAAAGGCAAAAGAAAGTGGTTCGACAATGGTAGAGGTGGCTACAACAATTCGACTAGTAGAGGAAACCAAGAGGAAGGAATTGTGTCGAATCAGAGAAGACCTTAATACCAAGGCAACCAAAGAGGTGGTGCTAGAGGTAAAGGAATAGGTGGTGGTCGAAAACCTGACAAGAGTCACATTCAGTGTTTTAATTGTAAGAAGTATGAACATTATTCTAGAGATTGTCCAGAAAAACGAAAGAATCAAGAAAATGATGCAAAATTTGCAAAGTATGAAGAATATGATATGTTGTTGATGGTTACAACAAGAGATGAAGAGAAATTCAAGGACCAATTGTACTTGGATTCAGGATGCTCATCACACATGTCTGGAAGGAAAGATTGGTTTGTCAACATAAAACACTCGATGAAGAACATGGTGAAAATCGTAAATGACAATACCCTAGCAGCTAAAGGTATCAGTGATGTTATGATTATGAGAAAAGATGGCAAGAGGTTAGTAATTTCTAATGTGTTGTACATACCAGACATGAAGAGTAATTTGCTCACTATAGGGAAGTTGGTCGAAAAGAATTATAAAGTATCGATCAAAGACAAGATGATGAGAGTCATCGACGCAAGAGGAAAATTAATCTTGAAGGCTCATATGTCTTAAAATAGAACCTTCGAGATCGAACTTAATGTGATAGAGCATCGATGCCTTTCGACTGCAGCTAGTAGAGACGAATGGATATGACATTATCGACTAGGTCATCTTAACTTCAAAGACATCAGAGATTTGAAGAAAAGAAATATGGTTTCAGGATTGATAGAAATTGACATTCTAAACAAGGTGCGTGAGGAATGTGTGCAGACGAAGCAACACAAGAATAGCTTCAGCAAGGATGTAGGAAGCAAGTCAAAAGCTATTCTTAAAGTCATATACTCTGATGTATATGGACCAATCCAAGTGAATTCAAATGGAGGTAATAAGTACTTTGTCACATTCATAGATGATTTAAGTAGAAAATGTGGACTTACCTGATCAAGAAGAAAAGTGAAGTGATAGAGATATTTGTCAAGTTTAAATCTATGGTCGAAAGGAAAAGTGGTCGAAAGCTCAAAGTTTTGAGAACTGATGGTGACAGAGAGTATGTATCGAAAGAGTTTGAAAAATTATGTGAAAAAGAAGGGATTGGGCAGGAGGTGGTGCCACCCTACACTCTACAACAAAATGGAATTGGAGAAAGAAAGAATCGAACCATTATGAATATGGTGAGAAGTACGTTGAAAGACAATAATTTACCTAAAGAGTTTTGGAGAGAAGCTGTGTCGAAATCAACATACATTTTGAATAGATTTTCGACGAAGAAGCTAGAAGAAATTACTCCAGAAGAATGTTGGTCTGTGTAAAGTCTAACTTGAATCATCTGAAAATATTTGGATCTATTTCACACAGAGATGTGTAAGATCAGTAGAGAAGAAAAATGGAGAAGTACGAAAAAATCGAGAAAGTCGGAGAAGGAACCTACGGCAAAGTGTACAAAGCGAAAGACACCTCCACCGGGCAAATCGTGGCCCTAAAAAAAACCCGTTTCGAAATGGACGAAGAAGGCGTCCATCCCACCGCCCTCCGCGAAGTCTCCCTCCTCCAAATGCTCTCTCAATCTCTCTACATCGTCCGCCTCCTCAACGTCGAACACGTCGATAAAATCCCCAAATCCGGCACCAATTCCACTCCTAAGTCCATCCTCTACCTCGTCTTCGAGTATCTCGACACCGATCTGAAGAAATTCATCGATACTTTTCGTAAAGGAGCCAACCCTAGGCCGTTGCCGACTTCGCTTGTTCAGAGTTTTCTGTTTCAGCTTTGTAAGGGGGTGACTCATTGTCATAGTCATGGTGTGCTGCACCGGGATTTGAAGCCGCAGAATCTTCTTCTCGATCAGCAGAAAGGGATTTTGAAGATTGCTGACTTTGGTCTTGGGAGGACTTTTGCTGTTCCGCTTATGAGTTATACGCATGAGATTGTTACTCTTTGGTATAGAGCTCCTGAGGTTTTGCTTGGATCTACTACTTACTCTACTGGAGTTGATATCTGGTCTGTTGGATGTATCTTTGGTGAGTTCTTCTCTCATTAGGGTCTTGGATCTCGATAGTGTACTACAATAGTTGCACTGCATTCTCTAATTTGAACAAATTGTTAGGGTTTTGTGATATGCCGTTTAGTGGAAAATTATTTATTAGAATTTTGTTAGGTTTTCTTTTTTTTTGGTTTTCACCACGGGTATCTGGCCAACTGGACCGACTATCTGGTTCGGGAGTCAGCTATGGCATCCCTCCCAATCGCAGTTGTGGGAAATCAAGTCGTGGTCCTTCCTACTAAGTTCAGTGTCAATCACCAATGGACCAAATAACAATTGATGTTTTGTTAGGGTTTTGTGATATGCAGTGATGTGTAGCGGAACTTGAGTAAAAAGTTTTACTTTTTGATCTGCCTTTGGGTGCCCTAAGATATTCCATGACTTAGGTTGAGTTGGATTTCCTCCCAAATATGACTTTAGGAATCAAATTCAAGGAACCTAAGTTGGGGGTTATTTTCTTGAGGGAGAGTCGTATTATGACTCTCCTAAGATGTTTTTCTGTGATTTGGATGCTTTTCTTTTTTTATTAATGATGGAAATGTAATTGTTTGCTTGTTTGTTTATGCAGCTGAAATGGTGAGGAAGCAGGCTTTGTTTCCAGGGGATTCTGAATATCAGCAGCTTCTTAGCATATTCAAGTTATGAACTCATGTTTTCAATTCTTTTTATCTTTCTCTTGTTAACAGAATATTGCTGTTTGTTGTGATATTTTTATATAGCTTTTTATAATAATTTGATCCAATGTAAAGTGTAGATTTACACAGAAGGTTGGTTAAGCTTTTAAAGTTAATAGTTTTTTGTAAGTATAAGCATAATCAATCTAATAGTTGAATTGAAAGTTTTTATGTTAAAGTAGCTCAATTACATTGGTTTTGTATTTATTTAGATTACTTAATAATTTTTTGATAGATGTATTTATTCATTAATCTAAATGTTGAATTGAAAATTTTCATGGTGTAGATCAATTTTTGTTTAAGTTTTACTTAGTTAGGACATTGATGGTTCATTGCACTATTTAAGTTTAACTTCTAAGTTTTAAATATTACTTTATAAGAAAGTAGTCCTACAATGGTTCGAGTCCGATACGTGTGATGTGCTTTTTCGGGCATGTCATCACCCTTGTGGTCTTTTTGAGAAAGACAGATGTTAATGGTTTGTCAAACTTTTTGATAGAATGTTATGACATCATTTGATCCATGTAGTTAACTGTAAAAGATTGGGTTATTGCTGTTTCTTTATTTCTTTAAGTGGCTTTGGAGTACCCTTGTACTCCCCTTAATGTATTCATTTACTGTAAAAATAATAATGAAGATTCTACCACATGATTTAACTGTTTGTTTAAGTAAGTAAATTGTTCTGTAGCATGATTCTAATGTTGAAATTTAACTCCTATTTCAATTGACGCTGTTAATAAAACTAATAGATTTCTTTTCCACCTTTTCTTATGATTTCACTGTTTCAAACTGTTTTAGTATTTACAAGTTTGTCACATTTACTTTCCATTTTTCATGCTCTCTCCCATTCTCAATTCAACCGTGCTGTTTACTTATTTACTAATTTCATTTTTAAGGCTTTTGGGGACTCCAACAGAGCAGCAATGGCCAGGAGTTAGCTCTCTGCGTGATTGGCATGTCTACCCAAAGTGGGAGCCTCAAAATTTGACAAGAGCTGTGCCCTCTTTGGCACCTGAAGGAGTGGACCTTCTCTCGGTTAGTATTCCCCTATGATTAATTTTGGTTTCTGTTTTAAAGTTCATAAGCCTCTTGAGAAATGTTATCCTTCTCTCGGTTAGCATTCCCCTCTGATTAATTTTGCTTTATGTTTTAAAGTTCATAAGCCTCTTGAGAAATTGTTATTTGTGCAAGATACTAATTAACAACCATAACGGATTCTTGCATGAGTATCAGTATGAGTATCGGTTCTGCATTGAAAAGTACCAACTAATTCAAAATATGATTTTTCATAATAATTGCATTTTATCAGATGATAACATTGTTATGTGACAAGGGTGTTCTGATTATTCTTTTCACCCCAATGTTACTTTTTTCACTAAATCAGTTCACAAGATGATAACCACTCATTTGATGCATTGTAGTATATCTTAGGCTCTGAAGTTATCCAACTGAAGTTGCTTTAGTAGTGTTATGAAATTATGATACAGATTTGGAGGAATATGATTCAATTGTGTGCATACAATAAATATTTCCAAACACACAGCATGCAACTTTCACTTTTCACTTTCAATTAGTGTTATGAAATTATGATACAAATTTGGAGGAGTATGGTTCAATTGTATGCATACAATAAATACACAGCATGCCACTTTCACTTTCAGTGTTCAATAGTGTGTGTCTCTTCTTTTTCGTCCCACTAAACTTTGGGAGTAATTGTATTTATGCACCTGCAGAAAATGCTCAAGTATAATCCCAGTGAGAGAATATCTGCCAAAGCAGCACTTGATCATCCCTACTTTGACAGCCTTGACAAGTCTCTGTATTAATGATGACTCTAGCTTGGAAGGTTTAGCGCAGAAGTGTCGGTTAAGCAACAATGTATTGCAGTCAGTGAAAATAAATTCACTACATGGAGTTGAAGGATATATAAGTTTGGTTTTATGTACTATTTCCTCATCATCTTGGTGATTTAAACAATTTACTATTGGTTAAGTTCTTAATTGCTCAGTCTCTGTAGGACCCAAGAAGAACTTTATGCGCCTTTAAAAGTTGTATTATCTGTTGAGATTGAAAGTGATAGTTTTTTAGTATGCTATTTACCTTTGTCAATGCATAATATTTTATTGCTTGTGCATTTATAGTGTCCTGCAAGTGAGGGTGTTTCCTCATTTCACGGGGAAGGTAAAAAGTAAAGGCTACCCTAGGCAAGTGTACTTGTTTTTATGGCGTTTGCCTTTTCACATGCCAATTATGATCACATTTCATCTGCAAGGTACTTGTGAATTCAATAACTGAATTGCAATTTCAAACATGTTTTTAGGTTTTGGGGCTTACCATGTTGAAATAATTCATTAATCATAATGAAGATAGAAATACATTTAAACCAATCGAATGATATACCTAGGAAAAGAGGATTTCTTAATCCATCCCATGACTTTTTTTATGCACTACACGAAATTTCTTAAATGTTCCTCAAAATCGTAAGTATATTTTCGGTGTGCACCAAAATTTGATTAACTAAATATTGCACGTACGTAAAATCGGAAATACATTTTCGGTACAAAACTAGAAATGTATTTTCGGTTCCTAATAAATAATGCATGTTCACCCAAGTGGTTGATGCTACTCTTCATTATCACTAAAGCATGAATCACCATGTGTATTGTTTATAAAGAATCGGAAATACATTTTTTGTTTTGTACTGGAAGTGCATTTTCGGTTTCGTTTTTGCTTGTTGAAGGGTGAATTTTTTTTTGTGAAGAATATGGTGCGAACCGGAAATGCATTTCCGATTTTAGAGGGACATTTTCGGAATTGCATAGAATGCTTGTTTTGGTCATGGGGTGGGTGTTAGCTGGAAATTTCGACTAAGGGTTTTTAAGTTAAACTCGAATATACTTCAGAATATTCCACTACTTTATTTATGTGAAGCCATAAAGGTTGAGATTCGAATTGGGTAAAATTCGTTGGAAAGGTTTATCAACTCGAATTATTGAATAAAGATTGTTATTCGAAATGTGGCTAAGGTTTCAAATATTTTTTCGACCGTCTTCGGAGATTGGCGCTCAAGATAAGAAGAAGATTCAAATTCAAATATTTTGATCTTATCCGAAAGGACGCGTGGAAGGCTCTGAGTTCGTCGAAGACATGCAAACAGAAACGTGACATTAATTCGTGTAGAAGACCGTTAGGGTCGAAGTAGTATAAATAGTGGTCTTAGTATTTCGATTAGAGGGGGTGAACATCTTTGTACAAATTACTCAGAAATTATTCAAAGTACCAAGTGTTAAAGAGAAACGAGTTTATTGAGGATGTACGTATGATACACCCATTTAATATAAATGCATTTATTTTCTGCAGAATTTCCAGTAACATTTACTCAAGTCTTTTACCATTTCAAGTTTAGAAGGATTTTACTTTCACTTTATATGCATTTTAATTTGACATTTGAAGCCATTTGTCTTCATATACAAAACATGTTAAATACAACAATCAAGTTAAAAGATTAATAAAGACACTCGTGTCCTGAGATCAATCTGATCAATCTCGCAAGTAACTGGATCCGTGAAAGGATTTGGAAGATCAGCGATTGTTTACCAAAATTTAGGGTAAATAAATTGGCACACCAGGTGGGACCTGTGTCTTTATCCATCTTAGTTTTAACTTGTTTATTGCATGAGATTGAGAAGTGGAAAACTAGCCAACAATACAAACCCTAGACCAAAAGGACAACACATTAGGGGAATGGCTAACCCACCCACTAGTGATGCGCAACAAGTTTACCCTCCTGGGGGAGGAAATACCAGCGCTTGAATACAAACGAAGTGATGACGACGAGTCAAGGGACTGCGACGATCCCTTCGACAACAAGCGCTGCAATTATACCCCAAAATACAAACGCTTCAACTATATCATCAAACACCCATAACGAATATACCATCGTGTCTATGGCCAATCAAAATCCACCATTAACACCCAGGCCTTCGATAGGTATGTCTAGAAATTTTCCACCAAGATTTACAATCCCAACATCAGATCCTATATATGGCATGCCAACTTCGTTCATGACGGGATTTCAAAATAATACGTCGACATACACCCGTCCCATAACATCTACTTTATCACCATTGCAAGGATCAGGGTCTGGGATAAACCACATGGCTAGAAACAATTCGCAGCCAACTCAAATACCTGCTATCACCACAAATACACAAGCAGTCATAAGGCAACAAATGGATGATAGCAACCACGAGATGTTGGGCGTATTGGCCCAACAAATGGGTACGATTTTCAACCCTTTAATTCAAATCACTACACAAACTAACTTGCAAAATGTCCAAGCAAACCAACGAATGACAGCGCAAATAAGGCATCTTGCAGATTTCTTTGGTGCGCCCATAGAAGTAGTTCGACAGCCACCCCCATAGCCCACATGGATAAGGGAGAATCAAGGCATCATATTCCAAGAAGAGCCAACCATAAACCAGGCCCAACCTTTGATTCACCCTGAAGTCGAAGTCCAACAACCAATTCGAAGGGAGGAACCACCCAGACCTCAACAGGCTATCCCTAGGGAGGAACCAGGGAGAATGGTAGTTTTGGTGAATCGAAACCAAAATGCTGATGAAATCCTTCAGGGCTATCGACAGAATGATATGGTGGGAAACAATAACCTCGCAACCTTAGTCAAAAGGATTATGGCGCGAAATGGGGTAAACTTAGGTATGTGTAGACCAAATTATACATCCCCTTTATCAGAATATATTCAACAAACTGAATTGCGAAGGGGATGGAAAGTACCCAAATTCACCAAGTTTTCTGGTGATACTAGCGAATCTACCATAGAACATATCGCCAGATACCTTACAGAGGCGGGAGATATAGCAAATAATGAAAATCTAAGGATTAAATACTTCCCTTCTTCGCTGACAAAAAATGCTTTTACTTGGTTTACCACCCTCGCGGCGAATTCCATCCATGATTGGACTCGTTTGGAGAGGTTGTTTCATGAACAATTTTATGTAGGACAAACCAAGATTAGTCTAAGCGAATTGGCAAATGTCAAGCAAAAATTTGGTGAGCCCATAGACGATTACCTCGACAGATTTCATTTGTTGAAGGCAAGATGCTTCGCACAAGTGCCAGAACACGAGTTGGTCGAAATGGCAGCAAGAGGTTTGGACTTTTCTATCAAGAAAAAGTTAGATCCCCGTTATTTGAGGGATATGGCGCAATTGGCCGATAGGGTTCGACAAGTTAAGCGTTTGAAGATCGAAAAGGCTAGGTCAAAACAAAGTCATAGAAAAGAAAAAGTGGCTTATAACGAAGCCGGCTCAGACGAAAGAGAAGTCGAAGAGCACAAAATAGATCTTGCAGAGTTGAAGCAAGGACCACCGTACCCTTGCAAAATGTTGACTCCTGCGAATGGGAAAAATCCTGTCGAACTAGAAAGGAGCGACAAATTTCCAGGAAAATCTTATACGTTCGACATCACCAAATGTGACGAAATTTTCGACTTACTAGTTAAAGATGACCAAATGATAGTGCCCCCTGGTGCTAAAATTCCTCCGTTAGAACAACGGAAGAAAAGGGGTTTCTGTAAGTATCATAATTTCTTAGGCTACAAAACCTCACAATGCTTTCTTTTCAGGGATTTGATACAAAAAGAAATTTAGGATGGAAGGCTAAAGTTTGGGGAAAAACCCAAACCTCAAATGAGGATTGATGCTGACTCTATGCAAGTTGTTGAGACCAATTATGTTGAGCCCGCTGCCATCAACATGGTGGACATTGATGGAGTCGAAGGGTTGCAACCAGAACAAAACCAGGGGTCTGACAAAGGCTCATCCAGGATTTGTTGATGATCTCGTGGCAGACAGGATTTGCTGATGATCTCGTGGTAGAGAAGGAAACAAGCGCTACTGATGGCGCAATGAAGAGTTCAATGAAGACCAGGACTATTGATGGTCTTAGGGTCAAGTTCGAAGAAATGAAACTTGTTGAGGGTCTAAAATTCAAAGTGAACATGGTGGAATTGAACCAACTCTCCCCAGAAATGGAGGAGATAGAAAAACGACTCAAAATGGAGAATGAAAAGATGAAGGCAGGCGACTAAAAGGTGAGTTTGGTGGATTACTTATTCCATTGTCACTCGAAGAACCCAAAGGGGCTTGTGTGCCCAAGGTGCAGCATCATGAATGATCAAGGAGCGGCTACTACCTACCAAAGGGTCTATCAAGAGAAGGCCAGAAACAACTGGAAAAGGGAGAAGGAACTCTTACCTTACCCCCCAGATGGGAGAGAGTCTCATGGGATTCTTAGTTCGTTGTCACAAAATGGGTTCAGAAGTTCTTATGTGCCCATGGTGCAACGCGCTATATGACGGAAGGACTGCTGAAGCCTACAAAAGGATTCCATACTCTCAGTGTTGGAACAACCAAAGTTGGAATAGGGAATGCTACGTTAATAATGCAAGAGGAATCCCCAACAGGGCAGATAGCCCACACCCTGGGGCATACAAACAGGCAACATTTAAGCCCCCAACAAACATGCCAACGGGAAAATGGCTGAAAGCAGGACAAAACACAACTGAAGCCAAAGGTAAAAATAGAACTGAAGCTTCGAAGTGGAGAAGCTTCAAAGAAGGTGGACGTATTGCATGGGCCTTCAGGAGGCAGTTTCACTCCAACAAGCAACAATCTCACGTGTCGGAGAACTACAAGGGAAAAAACCCCATGTCTAGGTCCCAATGGAGGCGACACCAAAGAAACAAGAAAGCCCAAAGGGAGCTTACAAACAAAGAAGTTGGTGAGTCAAGCACCAACCA